TTGGCCCTTCTGTGCATCCAAACTTGACATCCTACCACAAGGGAACCAATCTCAATGACAAGTGTCTTATGAGATTGGCTTGTTCTTTCATTGGACAGAGCATTAATATTAATATTTTCTATAAATTTAATGTTCCCTAACTGAATTTACTTTTACTTAATTTTAATATTAATTAATAATTATCATGTTACAGGGTAAATTAGAAAGCATGCTAGTCATGCCTCATACTGTAGCAGTACCACAAATTGGTTGTCTAAAAAATCCTTTACATTTAAGTAAGGTTAGGCGACAATCTAACGAAGTGATTTCTGCTGTTTATAAACAGCTATACGAACATGTACACAATCCCACTAATGAATATGATAATCCATCAGCATTGATGTCAAGAACACCAGATCTCGTGTATCAAATGTTAATCAATGATGAAAATCTGTCATTAAATTAATTTGTGTATAAAATATAAATCAATTCAATCTTAAAACAAAATTACACTCCAATCACAAGTCAAACATTTATTTATTTACAAATAACAAAGTAATATTACATTACAAAAAATAAAAATAAAATATTATTTCTCTAGCAATGTACCACGAGCGTGTCTTTTTATATCTAATGTAATTTCTGGTTCTACGAATTCCGCTGTCTTACGTTTGTTCATACCTTTCCTCTCCAACTGCTTTTCAATTATACGTGCATTATTTGCATATGAATCTGCTACTTCCCTCTGCAAAATAATATATTAATAGTATCAAATATCACAATATTTTATAGAATCACTAGAATCACTAACCGCTTCAATTTCATCTTCTTCTTCGTCAATAGTTGATACTGTCACTGAACTAAACTTGCCCATATTCTTAGTGTGTTTGGTGACCATGATTTTCTTTGGTTTTTCAACAGCCACTTGATTATAAATATCCATTTTGGGACCCTCACCAGTACATTTGACCAAAGCTCCATGTACAATAAAATAAACATTATTATTTGCCTGGTGTTTATAGTACAAAAATAAACCACACCTGTAAAATAAATCTTGGTAAGTATTGAATTAAAAGAGATGATTAAGGTTCACAAACTTTTTGCACTTCAATCTATGTTGTTTTTCGATGCCTTCTTGTCGTTTCAGATACACAATTTCATCTTGATCGTAGGTCATTTTATTGGCATGTTTAGAACCATCAACTACTCGGGCTCCATCCCTTTTGCGTAGTGGTAGTTTTTCCAAAGCACAATCTAAAATCAGTAAACTTAAATATAACCGTTGATAAAGAATATTATCTACGAAGATCAAAAACAACATTTGGGAAAATTCGAAACAGTATACTGTTTGAACTGGATTTAAAAATTAAAACTAATAAATTTTAACGATTGCTTACCCAAAATCAACGTCATCTGACCACACAAACAGTAATACGAGTGTAGGGGCTTCTCCTCATTATATTCTTCTTGGTCTTTGGTGTCCGAACACACTATACTGCGAGAAACTACTTTTGGCATTTTAAAATATAAAACTAATACCACCTATCCGATAAACCAAATATTTTGTGTTATTCAGTTATTGTATTCTTTTATTTAAACAACAACAACGTTATAAGTGTACACCACATTATCGGGTGAGTGGTGAATCATAGATAAGAAACTAATTTTCATAAAATTTGTGATAAGAATACTTGTACATTTGGTTGCATCAACTAAATTGTTCCGAGGTTACTGCCTACTGGTTGTGTTGCTTTTTTAATTTTTAATACATTTCAGACACTTAAGAATTAAGATGTATGAAGACATTTGCTACGTATTACCACTGAACAAAGGAATAAAATAAAATGATTATAGTTAATACTTTTACTATTATGATAAATTTATAATTTTATACTAAACAGATAATTATCTATTCAATTGCGTACTGACGGGGGTTAGGGGTTAAGGGTTTAACCCTCCCACCATAAGTAAAACATGTATAATGATTTCTTTTATGGAATATTACAATTGATAAAGGTTTGTATATTTGTAAATATTTTCGCGTTTCATTATTCATTCCATTTTTAGATTTTTTCATTACTCAAATTCAAAAACGTTTGTTAGATCATAAACAAATTTTGTCAAGCTTTCAACATCTTTTGCCATTAAAAATAAATAATTTTAAATTCAAAAAACAATTCAAGACTGACATTGTAAATTTGATACATCATTATGAAGAGATTATAAATTGCAGTGAACAAGAAAGTATTGGAAAACTTAGATTATGGACTATGGTGGAAGTATAAACAAAGTAAGAAAATAAAAATATTAAAAATACCCATTCGACTTTACGTGTAAGCGATGAAACAATATTTCCAATTTTACGAAAACTTCTAATTATTTTTGTTACTTTACCAGTAACGACGGCCACTCCCGAAAGGACTTTTTTGACTCTTCGCCGTCTCAAAACCTATCTACGGAATACAACCGGAGAATCTCGCTTAAGCGGATTAGCAATGTTAAATATTCACCGGAATATTGAAATCTCAACAGACTATACTTAATGAATTATCAAAAGCATCAAGATGAAAAAATATTAAGTTGTAAAATGTTGTTACTTTGTTATAGACCATAAAATATGCATTTTTAAAAATTTAATTTCACTATAGGTAGTAGGTACCTTAAATATAAGAAGAATACAGTTTTATAAACATTTTTTATCCATATATAGGTATGTTTATAAATGGTAATCCCCCCCCCTATAAACGAATTCTAAGTTTGTCACTGTACCTATTTATTCGGCAGAAACGGCAATCTGTCGATAAAGAACAAAAACCGTACGCGCTATAAAGGGGTCGTCGCGGTACACACAGTGGTGCCCCAATCGACCTGCTTGCGGACAAGGCAGTTGCGAGGGCCTGAACGCCGGGTTCAAACCTTGTATCACGGGACTCGGAGTAAGCCCCGTCGAGTCGGCTTGCTAATAGCGCCTCGACGCTCCGGGGGTGCTGGACCTGAGGCGCACGACCGCGTGGACTCACCGAGGACTCGCGCTCGCCCGCACCGGGAAAGGCACACTTGAGGAAGGACTCGTGGTGGTTGTGGGAGTACCGCCTTAGTAGAAGGGGTCTGACTCAGGCGATAATCCGTCGGGCTCTGGCCGCGGCGGTCACTCATTATGGCGCCCGAGGTGAGGTGGCGCCCCGGGTAGGACCCCCGGAGTCATCCGGGACTACTGCCCGGAAGAGACAACCCCGCGGTTATATAAAGGGGCTGAGTGTCTCCGAGGCAACCTGGAAGAACTGGTCGACCCCGCAACACACGGAAAGATGTACCTATTTATTATACAGAAAATTTTATTTAACCGAAGCTCCTACACGGGATTGGTAAATTGGGTCCCGGAAAAAAAAGGTTGTAGGTAAGTTGAGTCCCGGAAAAAAATATATAAATTAAAATGTATGTGGATTTTATAATATTATGTTCTCAATAAATAATATATGGTATAACATTTTGTGAAACCTAAACTTATGACCATATTTTATAATAACAGTTTTGTTTTTTTCGCTAACCATTATTTCCATTTCCAAAATTTATAAAAAAACAATAACTGTAAAATTGTGTAACTGTAAAGCTGTAAGACACGATATAGTCACAAGTTGACGTTCAGCAGGCTACTAAAAATATAATGAAATAGCCCAGATATCGTACGTGTATCTGTACATAATCAATAATCATCATCAAAATCGATGATAACTACTAACTGATACAAAAAAAAAATACAGACGAATAATACAAACACTTGTATACGCTCGTATACTCGTATATAATATGTATTTATCTTAATTAGGTTTAATCAAAGTTACGACATTACGGTACCTATCTCATTTTTGGAGAAAAGTGGCTAGAAAAGAATACCTGTCTATTCAAACATTAACATCATGTGTAGAATTAATTAGTGTCCAGGCGGTGTACCGTGTACCACACTGTATGTAATATGACGTAGGTACCTATTATTATAACAATTATTCAAAAATAAATTATATAAATATGAAATATTAAAGTTTTAAGTTTTTAATATTTCAGACCTAATTGCGCCAATGATTTATAGCCGGGACTCAACTTTCAAAACGAACCCAAATTATCGCGGACCCAATTCACCTAGCTCCTCCTACATAGTCCTACGCTTAGACGTAAATTTATATAGTCTTAATTACACTAAAACTAAGAAATCACTATTGCTAGATTTTTAAATTACTTATAAAACAGATCGCCATTTGCCCTGAATTATACTCAATTATATTATGTTTACACCGAAATTTTACCAAGATTACCGGTATATCTACTTCAATATTTTCTATCGTATAATATTTCTCTGATTTCCCCTTTCTAATTTATAAACTTTATTTTATCTAGATTGTATTGTAAAATATATGTATGACTCAAGTCATTTTCACATTTTTCGTCAATCATTTTTACCTAATTTAAATATTTCATAATATGTGATTCTTCTAGTAAAAACCCCCGGAAATATAGTCCCTGAAAAAACAAACCTAAAATAATAACCCCATAATAGTAATTACTAATTAATAACATGTTAATTTAATATTTCAATACAATTTATTTAAATTAGTTGTACCTATTAGAAAATTATACAATATAGATTATAGGCTATAGCCTATCTACGATTTTTTTTTTTTGTTTTCAAAATAAAGTAGCCTTTGTTGACTTTAGTTTTACATGATTTAATATTATAGTGCTTTTTCATCGGTGGCCGACCGCACATTCATGTGTCATCATTTTTCATCGTACGGTATTAGGGTTTGTAATTTATTCGGTGACGGTAAATAATACTCAAAACAGTCAAAACGTATTCATGTAATTGCAACTGTAAAAATTAAACATATCATTTATTTTACATATCACGTTTCTTATCACAAATTGTACAAAAAACCTGAAATAATCACCTTATCGGTTTAACAGATTCTGTTATCACCTGTTTAGGTCAGTCCATAGAATCATGTAAATTATAAGATATTCAAGTTTTTACATTTTACACTCGTGTTTTTTCAACAATGTATTTTATAAAATGCCAAATCGAATAAAATTAATAATCGTTTCCTTCTCTACTTTCGACGCATAAGTATCGATTTGCATGAATTTAAAAATGGCTGTGTTACAAGACCATACCAATGACAAAAATATGCCGGATCATATTTTATTGTTAAATAGAATTGACATTAAAAATATACTAAATTCACCTCTGAAAACCACTCAAAGAATAAAAGTCAGTGAGAGTTATTTTAATTATTATTTAATACATTTTTAAAATATTTCTTTCTTGCTTTAGTACACTTGTTTGGAAGTATCCCAGAACTTTGTCATTTTTGGGGCTTCCAGTGGTGGATTGTATGTATTTCGTAGAGAACCTTGTGAATTTATACAACTACTTCCAAATAAAGTGAGTGCACATAATATTAGTAAGATAAAAATCCTGGGACAAAATATATTTTATTTTTAATTTTAAAAAACACACATTTTTAAGGAAACTGGTATTTTTTAAACTGATTTCTTGAATATTAGTAAATAATTTATAGTTAAAAATGAAACATAATACATCATAGATATACAAATAAAAATTTGTTTTATCAATTTACTATTTATTACTTATAATTTATAAGTAAAGCCTGTATTAATTATTAATTAGGTAGATACTAAAGTTTAATTTCATCTATTATTATCTATTTAATATACCTACCTAGTAGTTACATATAGTAAAAGATACATTTATAAATTTAAGTGTTATAATATTAAAATACAATTATGTGTAATAATTATCAATATGGGTATAAACATCTAATTAAATAGTATTTGTTTTAATTGTTGTGTTAAATTGTCAATACTTTCCTAATGATAGAACTTTACTTAATAATTTCTAACCACACAGGCATGGCAGAAACCTACAGGTGTCCAATAAAAATTCTGCCAAATAGGCGTCCAAACTATAGGCCTTCGGGGCTACTCTTGGACATAAGTGCCATACGAAAAAAAAAAAAACTTAATAATTAATGTAAACTTATGAATTAATGTAAAGGAAGGGTCTGTGACTCAAATTGCTGTATCTAAAGATGAAGATCTCATTGCATTTGGTACACAAAAAGGCATTGTTTGTGTTTTACAAAGAAATGAAAATGGAATTGGTGCAAAGTTGATAAATAAGTCTACTGAACATTTAGGACATGAGATCACTACTATGGAATGGACTTCAAAGAATCAAATATATTTTGGTGATTGCAATGGAAAAGTCACTTCAATTTATGTATCATTATTTGTTGTAAGTATAAATTAATATATTATGCATGTAGCTTAAAACTTAAGCAATGCAGCCTTATAGTTCAAAATATGGTATAATAAATTTTCTATTTTTCAGCGAAAGGCTATTTTCCAAACCCCACCGTATACTATGATTGAACTGGATTCAAGAGTAATTCAAATAGATAGCTCTGATGATATTTTAGTGATCTCAACATTGACAAGATGTTATGTTTGTGATATGTCCAAAGAACAATTTAAACAAATTGGACAAAAAACTAGGGATGGTGATTATGGTTGTTGTATTGTTACATGGAATGAAAAGAAAATATTTTCTGCACGGCCAGGTTCAAGGATTTGGGAAGCAGAGTTAAACGGTATTGTAAAAAGTACACATCAACTGAAATACTGTTTAGCCATACCACCAACACTTAATGTTAGTGCACAAAAACCATTAGATTTATCAAGAATTTCGGGTAAAAATTGGCTACCACAGTCTTTGAATTTTAAAAAACTATATACAATTTGGGATAATTGTTTACTTACATATACATCAAATAGCATATTTATACTGGATATGTTAAGAGTTAATGTTTTATTGTGGTGTGACGGATATAATAATATACAAAACGTCAAATACATTGAAGATACTATATATATATGGTGCTCAAATAGTGAGCTTATTATTGAAAAGATTACTCCACTTCAAAATTATTTGGTTAATTGTTATGAATGTGAAGATTACAATACCTGTGTTTCATTAATAGAACATTATTATGATAGAATAATAAGTACAAAATGCATTATTAATGAGTTATACCCGCTTGTAAATATAGATCAAAAAATAGACTTGCCAGTTAATACAAACAATTTAATCTCAAAAATTAAAAAAACTTATCATTTAAAACAGCAATTTTTTAAGTTGCCATCCGGAATTTACTCTTTAAAAAATTATGTATACGTTAAAAACAATTCTAGATTACAAAGAAGTTATAGTTTAATTTCTATAAAGTCTGATAAACTTGTATTACATTACAAATCTATGCCAAATATACATATAAATTTAGAAAAAGTTAAAAAGTCTGAACAGTATCCATCTAATGATTATTCCAAGTTAAACAATAAACAAGTTTTTGATCAGATGTATATGGAGTTAAACATTCCTTCAATTCCATTTGTTTCATTAACTACTTCTGAAGTATTTCATGATACTCTAATGGAAATAGGGTCAAATGTTACCAATAAAATTGCAAAAAGTAGTAAAACTCTTAAAGATACATTAAATAATCTAACTGCTAGTACAGGTAAAAATAATTTGGTGCCTTATGAAATATCAAATATTAATCGACCAGAACCACCACCTGTTGATGAAAGTGAAGTAGATGTTTCCAATTATAAATTAGACCTTGGACATCGTGAAAAACTCAATTTACTTCCTATTTTAAAAATATGTAAAAAACTTCAAAATGGATATAAATTAGATGTAGACTGTTTACAACACTTGTGTAATGGTGTATGTGAAGTGAAATCTAATTTGGAAAATGTATTACATATTAAACAGCCAATGTTTCCATTTCAACAGTATTTGAAAGAAAAACATTTGAACACTATTAAGAAAGCAATTAATGATGGTTTCATTAATAATTTAGTAATAAAATGGGCTGAAATACATGAAAAAGATATCCTGATTGTCAATAAATTTGACTACCCAGAATTTTTGACTTACTATTTAGATGAAAATGATTTTAAAAAAGATCTGGAAGTCAGTGAGCTAATTACATTATTTGGCCAAGTTATAGAAGTAGGTAGTATTTATGAATTTTTGCTCAATGGTAACTTGAAATGTGCTTATGCTATATTTTGTAAGATCTTGAAAATGAATTCTAATAATAATGGAAAGAGCGAAGAACCATTATTAATGTACTTAAATTCAATGTACGTATTTTTGAGATTGGATCAAATTGAATCATTCCGTGTACTTGGATATAAACGAAACATCAAGCCAATATTTGTGTTTTATTTATTAATAAAATTTTCGGTTCATTTAGAACCAAGTTATCGCAAAAAATGCAATGCAATATTTTTATCTTACTTATCACACTTTGATAAAAGTATTTTTACTGATTGTAATATTCTGTATTATGCTGTTTATAGTTTTTTAATATTAAATCAAGATAAAAAACATTTATGTAAATGTGGATTTCCATTAGATAGTATTAATGGTAAATTCAAAAAGCTTGGACAAATACTTATTGATTATTTATCTAGTGCTGAAGTAAATTTGGAACAATTACATAACATTTTACATAAATTCACAAAATGTAATGTTACCACAAACTCTTTGGAAGATGTAATAAAATGTTTTTGTAAGCAAGTGCCTCATTTATGGCCTGTTTTTTTAAAATCTGTTATAAATCTGAATGGTTTAAAGCATACAAAAATTATTCTTGCTATCCATTTGGGATTAGTGGATCAATTAGATGTACATATAATCAACAAAAATGAATTGTTGTTTGACAAACTTTTTACATTAAATCATTATTTTAAAAATGGCCTTTGTTTGAATTGTGGTAATATTGGAGAAAAAAATCAAGGAATTGCATGGACTGATTTAACATCTTTAGCATTTCAATATTTAAGTCAAGAAGAAACTAAAAGTTTACTCTTCAAACATAGAAATAATATACCACCCGGAGATATTGATAATTGGTAATTATAAATAATATATATTATGTTGTATTAAATCTGATAAAAATCAGTTATAATTTTTTGTTATGTTTAGGTTTTATCAAAGTTTTATTTTGACTCAGCTAGTTGATTTAAACTTAAAGAAGGCTTTGATCAATACATTAAAATATCATAATAATATAACAATGATAGGCACAGAGGTAAGAGTCAACATTTTTTAAAATAATCTACAGAATCATATTTTATTTATAATTTGTTTTTTGACAGAATTGTAAAAATATGTTAACAACTTTGGAAGAAGAAATAGGTGAGACTATTTCATTTAAAAACCAATTATCAAAAAAATCACACTGGGGTACGCAAATTGATGTAAAGAATAGTAATTGTATTTGGTGTTCATTACCATTAAACTCTGATCCTTTAATTAGAGGTAAAAATAATGGACTCATATCATTTAGATGTGGACATTCGTTTCATACTGTATGCATTCGTCATCAAACTGATAATATTCAATGTATTGTATGTCAAAGAAAATACTAAATATGTTAGAATTAAGATATAGAAGTAAAAAAATTATTTATTTTATATTACTTAAAAATACTAATTATATGTTGTATAAAGAAGCATCTCATGTTTATGAAGTTATCAAAATATGTTGAAACTAAAATGTTTGAATACACATTATTTTTAAATTTATTTATATGATTCATAAATCATAATTGTTATAACATTTTATTAATTTATACTAACAAAGAATATCTTAAGTTTAAAAACAATGTGATTATTTTTATTTAGAAAATATAATTTATTATATTATTATATTATATTATGAATGGTTTATAATGTTAAAAATTGTTAATAATTATTTTTTCTATTAAAAAGCTATATTTTTGTTACATGCCCATACTATAATATCAAATCAATTGTCAAGTCATTGAATGACACCAATATGCAATTTAATTGTTTTAATATTGATTATACTTTTGTTGTTAGTTTTGGTAAATATTTACTTGATTTCACTCCTTGATATTGTATTGTATTCAGTACGCAGTTTGAACATATGTATTTAAATTGTTAAAAATTGTATACACCCCATAAATTCAAGGATTTTGACATAAAGAGTTATGGGAGCAGTAAAATATGGATTATTTTTTTTTTTGCTGTCAAAGGTAATGTATTATATTATTATTTTAAAATGATAATCCATTTATATACTATCATTAAATGTTACTGAAGACCTTTATATTATATTGAAGTTCTTTATAAATACTGACAGACCAAAAAAATATTTCAAACATTCTCATACATTGTTTTTTTAAATTTTCACTATAATTATATAATTTTATTTAAATAAAAAACTAATAATATTCGACTATCTAGTTATCTAGATTCTAGGAGTTTGAGCTATCTTTTTCATGATCAGATATTTTTGTTTTGTAAAGTTCATATTGCATAGAATATAGATCTTAATATATACAATTAAAAGCAAACATTTTCGTAAGGTGTTTACTCTTGAAGAAAACTTAATTATTACATTATTGCTTTTATAAATTATATATTTTCTAAAACTAGTATTCTTGTCAGTTAACACATATTTTTTTACATTAGTAAAGTATGCAACCTTTTTATAGTAAGTAGTAGGTAGGTAAGTACTTACTACATACTATTTATTCATCAATTTGGGTTTGGTAAGATATGATCGCTGTCTGCTGATCGTTTTGGTAATCATAAATTTTTTCATTAAAAAATGAATGAACTGTTTGAGTGAGTTTCAAAATTTTCAATTAAATACAGTAAAACTTTCTTGAGACACTGTTTTCCGTCGGTCCCTAACAATTCCATAATAGCACATAATAGCCAATTTAAAAATCTCAACAACAAAAGGCCTCAACCTAATAAAATAGATACTTTTATTAATATAAATAAAAAATAATAATTAAAATATGTATTTATTTTTTAATTAAATTCGAAAGAAAAATTAATTATAATTAATAATAAATTTTGTTCAATAATTAATATATATGTAAATAAATTCAACATTTTAACTATTTAATTATTTTTAATACCCACGTAAAAAACTTTCCTGCTTAAGACGTTCTAGACAGTTAACCCTTTGATGAGTGTCCTGAGCGGATGCGAGTTTTGCTGTAAGCTGTTAGAGTAAGTATAATATACCAGTGACGTAATTACGAGGGATAATTTTGTCATTGTATCGCGCATTACAATATATTCTTATAAACACTATACTATGGCATATTATACAAAAATAATCTTAAGGAATCCGAATCCCTAATGCTAGTAACTTTACGACCATATATAAGTAACTAAGATAATATTTACTTTATTAAAATAAACACTAGGTATTGCACAAAATATATATTGTATCTATTGTGGTCAAAAGAATCATTTTATATTTCAAATTGTTAAAAATAAACAATCGAAAATTACTATTTTAATAGTATTATAACATTTGATAAAAACATGTTATAAATATAGTAAAAATAAAAAAATTGTTTACAGATTCTATCTGTTGATTGTTTTCAAAACAATCCTACAGATTCAATACCGTTTCATGGACAAAATGCAGGAGCGCATAACTCGTGGCCAAGTCAACCAGACCAATCGCTACCTCAAGGAATGACAAATTATAACAACATGAGATATCCTGACCTTCCACAAAGTACTTATCTGAATAATAAAAATAATCAACAATACATTAATTATAAACAACAACCTTCTATGCCGCAACCGTATAATGCACCACAGCAATATACACCACAAGAACAAAACCATTTGCAACCTATGTCTCAAGCAGTACACCATAATGTCCAACACATGAATACATTTCAGCCACCTTTGACTGTAAATCAAAATCAACAATCTCATGTACCACAATCGAATAATTTATATTTACCATTACATGGTAGTAGACAAGGAGTTTCTCATTCTTACGGAACAGTCGGACCTCCACCAAAAGAATACCAACAACAACTGCCAATGAACTTAAATCCACCAATACAAGAAAAATTACAAGATTTTGGTGAAGATATGAATAACGCTAGAAACCAAGGAACTTTGTCGCAAACGACGTCTCCAATTCCACTTTCATCAAATCAGCCAAAATTGTCTCAGATACCATCACAGCCGTCTTTAAATCCGACAACGAAAGTTAATTCAACGCCCAACAAAAATAACATAGAAATTAAAGA